TTTTTCTGAGTCAGAACATTGTATTCTTTGAAATTTGTCCGTTTCTGCATAAATTTACGTGTTGCCACTCATTTACAGAATGATGGGTTATTTTAAAGTTTTATAACATTTTGGAATATTTAGTTGAATCTCAATTATTCAGAATGTAACAAAGCAAAACTCATATTACTGGAAAACTACTCAGCTTAAAACAATATATGTTGAGGTTCCAGCAGGCTTCTTTTCAAATGCAATCTCAGGTATGTTTTAGAGGATGAACCTACTCATTTCAGTTTCATACTACTCAGCTTAAAACAATAAATGTTAAGGTTCCAGCAGGCTTCTTTTCAAATGCAACCTCAGGTATATTTTAGAGGATGAACCTACTCATTTCAGTTTCATATATTCTGAGCATTTACATGATGATGAGCTTTTAATTGTCTGCATCAGAGTTCCTCAGAATGTAGTGTTTGAACCACCTGCATAATTTAAAATGTGCTTTGCTGGAACCTACCCATCACAGTCCACGGGGATGGGGCCTAAGTCTCCTTTAAAAATGGTACTTTAAGCATCTCTTTTTGCACATGTAAGTTTGAGAGCCACTGGTGTGGATGGTAAGACCCAAAATTGTTTTCTCAGCTATCAGAGGACAATAAAATTATACTTAGAATATTCTTCTTCCTGAGACAGATAATGGATTAATACAACTCTAAAAAGATGGAAAGACCCAAAATTGTTTTCTCAGCTACCAGAGGACAGTAAAATTATACTTAGAATATTGTTCCTGAGACAGATAATGGATTAATACAACTCTACAAGTGAAAGCAAACTAACTTTCCTTTTCTAACCACATTAATCATTTCACTACTATTTCATTCACTGAGCATCCCAGTTCATTGAGATTTACCCTCTGTAGAACTGTAAGAGGTTGACTAACCGGAAAAATGAATTTTCGATAAGCCAGCTGAGAACAGCAGTAAGATGAGCTTCTTTGAAAGTATTCAGAGCCACGTCGAGAACTTTGGTAACTTGGATGCTCTCTTTCTAAACCCTGTGAAGTTGCCCCTTTTCCAAGATGGCGTGAAGAAGAAATGTATGTCAAAACATGACACCAGCATTTTGATAACTTTGCTTCATATCAGAAGACAATGCTGCTTGCTCCTCCCTCTCATGGCACTACGTGCTTTTGGGTGTCTCATTCCTTAAATAAGTTCCGTTGGGTGCCTGTGCAGATGAAGGTGTCAACACAGTATGTCTCAGTTCTGTGTCTATTCCCTAAATGTTTTGGATTTGACAAGAACTGCCCCCCTTCTCTACAGGGCAGAGATGTAACATTGACATTGACGAGTGTGCCTCCAATCCCTGTCGCAAGGGTGCAACGTGCATCAACGATGTGAATGGTTTTCGCTGTATATGCCCCGAGGGTCCCCATCACCCCAGCTGCTTCTCGCAGGTGAACGAGTGTCTGAGCAATCCCTGCATCCACGGGAACTGTACCGGGGGCCTCAGCGGGTGAGTAGCTGCCATGTAGTCATCGTTTCTTCTTGACCTGTGTCAGCTGACCTGCAGAAGTCAGTCGGGGACCTGAGCTGACTGAGATTTTGGTAGTCCGTATTGTAGTCTTCCAAAGTGCCTCCTTGTCCTTCCCTCCTATGACTGAGCAGGAGGAAAATAAGGAGGAATGTCTTCCTCGTGTGGGTAGGCAGCACGTGGGAGGAGTTCAGGGTTGTTTTATGAGTCTTTGGCAAGTGAAAGAATAAAGAGGGTGTTTAGAGGCAAATGGGAAATCAAGTCATTTCCAAGATGAATTTTCTCAGTATTCCTGCTTCAGAGTAGGGCAGCCTTCAAAGCATCCCAACCCATCACATTTTTCCTAAGAAGCTCCAGACATCTGGCCACCATCTCCTGATACGACATTCTAAGTCCTAATGACATTCAAATTGTGAACAATGTCCAAGTACTTCAAATACCTTCATTTTGGACCTTTTTCTGCTCAGTACCCTGGGTGCTTTCTGCGGCAGGGTTTCTGGTCAGAACAAAACATATCTCAGAAGTCAGGCATTCTAGGAGATCTTCAGAGTGGCTCAGAGTCCCTGATACTAATCTACTTCCTGGGTAGTAGATTTTGCCTCAGAAACAAATGACCCTACGGTTTGCTTTACTTTAGTTTTGCTTTTGTTTCTTTAAAACTTAAATTCTTTATTGTTTTAAAATATTATGTAAGTCTCCCTTCCCCTCCCCCCGCCACTGACCTCTCCCCGGCCACCCTCACCCCCTAGTTTTATATATAAGAAAAAAAAACTGTGCAGATTTATCCATATTAATGTGTCTTTCAGATTGGTCCAATATGTTGCACCAACCATGCTCTTTACATATGAAAGCTCAGTGTAATTAATTAGTTTCTCTAGCATCTTTGTGAACCAGGGAAGCACCAGGAAGGAAGGTCATTTAACTCCAGATGGGCCCTCCTGATCCACACTGTGTTCATGGTGACCCACGTATAGGTCCCCAGAGAGTAGAAATGACATTAGCTTACCTTCATCTCCTCCTTCCCTCATTTCTTCACCATGTCCTGTATTCAACTCTGACTCAGTTGTACCTTCATTACCCATAATAAAGAATTCTGTCTTCTTTCAGATACAAGTGCCTCTGTGATGCAGGCTGGGTCGGCATCAACTGTGAAGTGGACAAAAATGAATGCCTTTCCAATCCATGCCAGAATGGAGGAACCTGTGACAACCTGGTGAATGGATACAGGTGTACTTGCAAGAAGGGCTTTAAAGGTGAAGGCAAAAGTGCATATTTCCATCTCCCTTCCCTGCCCTTTAGTTGTTGCGTATTGCTTGACTCACTTCTTTCTTTCCTTTTTTCCTCTGTTCATTCACACAGCAAACATAATTTGAGCACGTAATATTTATAAGGCACTGGGCAGTAAAAACATAAATAGATATAGATTCTACTCTCAGCCTAGCAGAGAGGTGAGCAGCCAGGACTTCACTTACACAACTTTGGACAGGTGTTCTAATTGCAAGCTTCTCGATGCAGGATTGATTCTATGATAATTCAAAAGAGAAATTGGTAGTAGGATGAAAATACTGTCTTGCTGTAATTCCTACAGCAGTAATATGGAAAGATTCATGTGTTCAAAACCTCCCAGCAAATTCTTTCTCACAGTGAGATACTCTTAGATACATAGTTCCCAGTGGCCTTCTGGAAAAATACAGAATAAGGGGGGTATTGTGTAAAATAATTTTGGGGTTGTTACTGTTGTATTTCTACCATCAGTTTTCTCTTGGAAACTCATGAGAGAGAAATCCATGGGTAAATCATTTATATTTGGACTGCTCTATTCACTTAGTCTTGGAGTTCCCCACTCAAAAGCAGTGCCAGGCCCTAGCTGGTTTGGCTCAGTGGATAGAGTGTTGGCCTGCAGACTGAAGGGTCCCAGGTTCAATTCTGGTCAAGAGCACATGCCTGAGTTGCTGGCTCGATCCCCAGTAGGGGGCGTGCAGGAGACAGCCAATCAATGATTCTCTCTCATTGATGTTTCTATCTCCCTCTCCCTTCCTCTCTGAAATCAATAAAAATATATTTTTAAAAAAAAAAGCGGTGCCAGGCTACTGCAAATCAGCAGTATATTTCAGGGACATTTTATTTGATTAGTTGAAAACATTCTGAAACCTTATTTTAGTTATTAATTTACTGATATATTACATTTGCGAAGAAGCGTATAGATTTAAAAGCACTTTTATGTCTTTATCTCATTGAGACTTACTGATCAAACAAAATCAAAATGTACAGTCCATATTTGTATGACTATTGAATAGCCAGCCCTCTGCACTCCCAGATCATTTTTACAGTGCTCTAATTCCTCTATTTTAAGGCTTTATTGAAGATGCAGAGGTGTGTAATAGTTGAGTACTTTCCTGTCCCCAGAAGTGCCTCTTTTCTCTTTTTTAGAGTGGGAGTAGAATTCATATCTTGATCAGGAGGAGGCAGCTTTGTGACCTCAGGAAGTCCTACCACATGGATGGAAGAGGGGGCATAACGTGGAGGCTTTGATTAATGTATTCAAGAATGTCACCCCTCGATAATGCATACCCCCTTGTTAAGCCCTGACCAGATACTTTGTGTACAAAGAGCTTATATTTAGATTAAGCAGCAGATTTTTGCTCTTAATGAACTTCTTGGTTCATTATTGAGAAATTATTTGTACCGTATTTGAGGGTGCATTAGACTTTAGGATATCAGAACATATCTTAACTAAGCACTGTTTTTTACTTGCTCTATGTCAGAGACTTGTCACTGAAACCAGTGAACAGATGTTCTGGTGGCCTGAAGAAATGAATGCAGTTTCTGAGGTGTTTCATGTTTACCACTGAGAGGATCGCTTAGTAATTCAGATAATAGGAGGCTCACAGACAGGTTCACGGTTTGGGTTTTTCCCCTTTTCTATCCACAGGCCATAACTGTCAGGTGAATATCAACGAATGTGCTTCAAATCCGTGCCTGAACCAAGGAACCTGCCTTGATGACATAAGTGGCTACACCTGCCGCTGCGTGCTGCCCTACACAGGTGAGCCCTGAAAGTGCGGGGACATGGGGATGCTCGTCCCCCCTTGTCACTCCAAACCTCGGAGTCTCAGAGGTGGGATCTGTGAGGCTGCTGCTCAGAGGACTCGCCCGTCGCATGTCCTGCCCTCACTCACTGGATCTGGAGCTCTGAGAAATCACTGTGACCTCCCTCGTGCAAGTGCTGGGAGATTCATTGCCTTCTTGGCTCTTTAGGGTTTGAATTTTTTTCATCGTGTGTGGTTGGAACTGATGCAGAGCTGATGGTTTAGTCCATTATTGTGAATGGAGCAGTGTCTCCATGGTCCATGCTCCTTGTCTTGGTTTCAATAACAAGGCTACCACTTACTGCTAATTTATTATGTGCCAGATACTTTATACACTTTGGATTATTTCTTCTAGTGCTCACAATAACCCTACAGGTAGAAGTTCCTGTCACCATTTATACCTGAAGAAGCTGAGGCAAGAGAGGTTACTTGCTGAGGGTCACAGAGAGGGGTGGTAGGTCTAGGGTTAGTCCCCAAGTCTCTAAACCGAGAGCATGTCCTCTTAACTGCCATTCTTCTCCTCCCAGTCCGCACAGCTGCGTCTCATTCAGAGAGGTAACGCCCCGGATGGCGCTCACACACAGAAGACGTGCTGTGCCTCCGTTGTATGCCAGGTGGTCTTTGTTTCGGGTGCTATTTCAGGAGTGTGCTTGGACATGTCTGCTGTGTTCTCCTGCCTCATTGCTGCCATCCTGTGATTGGTTGTATTTGTGTGGCTTGTTTACCTCCTCGCCATCCCGTTTTCTTCATGTCTGGGAAACAAAACAAATACGGGGGATGGCGTTGCATGCTCTGCAGTGAGCAGCATGCGGGCGGGATGCCTTGGCCTTGGGCTGTGCACAGTAGCTGTGACTGGTGACTCTGAGCCGTGTAGAGCGGCAAGTGGCCTTGAGCATGACCCTGTGACCTGGAAGATTTGATGCTACTTGTTCCCTCTGCCCCGCTTTAGAAGACATGTTCATGTGGGGAAACAGCATGTAGCCAGCCTGGTGGGTAAAATCAGAGCTATCAGAGATCCCCAGCTCTCCCCAGACAAAAACAGTCTCCTCTGTGTCATTCATTTCAGAGCGACAGTGCAGACCACACTCACTGGCAGTGAGAAGATCATCTCACTCACAACCATAGACTCAATGTTGACGGCTGTGGGGAGATGTAGGCAGACGTCACTCTATGCAACCACATCATAGACTTCCCTGGGTGTGACTTGTGTGTACAGTTCATGTTGAAATTATTCATTCTGTCTTCTTGCTATGCGGATACTATAAGAATGTTTACTCTGTGCCAGCTGTCGGTTTTGCTTTAGATTAGGATGCCAATAAAAGAATCTCCTATGTGTGAACTTTGAGAAATTAATTATATTAGACTGGAAGCCCGTGCAGGTGAAATCTCAGTGCTGAGTGTGGCTAAGGCTTCTGCCTGGCATTGAGTTTGGCCTGCATGAAGGCCATTAAGCAACATTGCCCTCCCTGTGAGCCACTATTCTGACCAGACACACTAAAAAGCTGCTTGGGGACATTGGTGAAAATTGTGGTAATGTTCTTCTTTCTGAATACAAAATTTTAGGATAAAATTTTAAATCAAGTTAGTTGCAACTTGACTTTAAAATCAACCTCATCTCCCTTTTAATAAGAGCATCCTTTTTGTGTCTGAAAGCTTGGATTCAGCATGCTGAGGCAGAAAACATTGGTGGGCAGATACGGACGTCATGCTGTTGCTGTCGATATAAGGAGACATGTTGCTAGGCACTCAGGATCACTTCCCCGTTTCCTCCCTCCGGGGCCTTCTGGTCAACCTCACTGCCTTCTGGAACGGGCCAGTGAGGCTGCGAGGAATAGGAGGCCGTACTGTGGTGGCTTCTTCCCTGCTCACACGAAGTGGGTCTGTGTGGCTAAGCCTCCAAGTAGCCGAACCTTAGCTGTGGAGATGCAGAAGCTGTCACTCCCGACTGAGGCAGATGTCAAATGCACGCAGCTACTCATGATAGCAGGACGATGACAGCAGCCCCCGTTGTCACGTGCTCACTCTGTGTGCCAGGCTCTAACTAATAAGCACTTACTGATCATTTTTTTTCATTGAATCCTCAAAAGCCTCTATGAGCGCTATCCTGATTTCCATTTTACTGATGTGGAAGGCTCAGAGGAAATGAGTAACTTGCCTGAGGCCACACAGTTAGTAATAAAGTCGGAGCCAAGACTCAGGGGCCGCAGGTCTCTCGGCTTCCAAAGCTCTTCACCACTGCTGTGGACGTGCATTCGGAGAGCCTCCTTCGGTATAGAATCTGGGAAATTTCCAATTCCATGGCTGGTTTTCTGTCCTGAACTCTGTCATTTGCTTTGCAGGCAAGAACTGTCAGACGGTGCTGGCTCCCTGTTCCCCAAACCCTTGTGAGAATGCTGCTGTGTGCAGAGAGGCGCCCAATTTCGAGAGTTATACCTGCCTGTGTGCCCCTGGCTGGCAAGGTAACAACCCGGGAAGGAGAAACCAAACATTTTTTCATGTGGGCAGGTCATCAGAATAAATGGAAGGCGTGTCTCTGGGGTCCTCTGGTGCCTGGAAGACTCCAGCCTGAGCCTGAAACCATGATGTCCTGCAGGGAATTTTAGCACCTGGCCAGCTGTTTGCCAGGGGCACAGAGGCCTTAAGGGACTTCCCAAAGCAGGGGACCAACCAGAATGCCCTTGAAGTAGCCCATCCCCCAGCTGGCGCCCAGGCCCCACGTAATCTCTGTGGAATCCGCGTCCCCTGACTGGACCACTCACTGCCCTGTGTTTCTAGGTCAGCGGTGTACCATTGACATTGACGAGTGTGTCTCCAAGCCCTGCCTGAACCGTGGTCTCTGCCATAACACCCAGGGCAGCTACATGTGCGAGTGTCCTCCGGGCTTCAGCGGTATGGACTGTGAGGAGGACATCGATGATTGCCTCGCCAGTGAGTATGCCAGCCGGCTCCTAAGCCCCAGGGCCCAGGAAACCACTCAGGGGCCACAGAAGAGCTGGCGGGGGCAACTGCCTCTCAGGTCTGAGACTGGCCACCCCGACAGTTTATCATGTGTCCTTAATATTAGTGTTTTAAATCTTTTCGAAGCTAGTAGCTTTGGGAGTTAAGGCAGAGGAATCTCTTTGAAGCATTCCCTGAGTTACTAGGTTACTGCTCTTTGTGGGACTCAGTACAAGTCGCCCACCTTTATGAGTCTCAGATTAAATTGCTGCTGCTGTTTGGAGCTCTAATTCTCGTGTCTAATGGCTTAGATCCTTGCCAGAATGGAGGCTCCTGTGTCGATGGAGTGAATACGTTCTCCTGCCTGTGCCTTGCGGGCTTCACCGGGGACAAGTGCCAGACAGACATTAACGAGTGCCTGAGCGAACCCTGTAAGAACGGAGGGACCTGCTCCGACTACGTCAACAGCTACACGTGCAAGTGCCCGGCGGGATTTGAAGGAGTCCACTGCGAGAACAACATCGACGAGTGCACTGAGAGGTGGGTGCCCATACACTCCAGAAAGAGGGGGCACAGCACTGGGATTGCGGGGCAGGGGCAAGGCATCCATGTGGGTCCCATAGTCATCTCCTGTTGCCCAGCCCTGATTCCTTGTAGATGTGTAGTTAGCAGGTCAAAGGTCAGGGGCTGACAAGCTTAGTGGTAGGTCATCATTTATTTCTTGCTTAGGGAAACAGAAAGAGCTGTAATTCTGAACAAAAGACAAATTTTCCTCTTTGTCTTTCATTCCTATTAGTTGGCAATTTAAAAATTCTTATTTCTTTACAGATGTGTCATCACTGTTTAAGTAATTTCTGGGAGGCTGTTTTTTGTGGGGTTTTTTTTTTTACTTATTAGCAAATTTGCTGTGTTTCTTTTTCATAAAGAAATCTAGAATCAAGAGCTTTCTGTTTAGCACTTTTCTTAGAAATGAAATTGGCTTAGGGATAAAATGAAATGTGATATAGAAGGACTGGGTAAAATTTGGAAACCTTCACTTTCTCTGGGAATTGCTCATAAACTCAGCCTTTTAAATACTTAAGCTTCTTGGTTGTGGATAGGAAGCTGGGACTCAAGGCCAAGGGGCAACCAATCTAATTTGGAAAAAGGTAAAATTTACTGGGTGGAGGGGTTTGGGATGCTCAGGAGTATTGGCCTCCGTAGCATCTTAGGTTCCAGGAACCTTGCTTTTTAAATAGCAGGTCAGAGGACCAGATCACCCCGCTGATGGCGCTCTCCCTGTTTGCTCCTTAGCTCCTGTTTCAACGGGGGTACGTGTGTCGACGGAATTAACTCCTTCTCTTGCTTGTGCCCTGTGGGCTTCACTGGCCCATACTGCCTCCATGAGATCAATGAGTGCAACTCTCATCCGTGCCTGAATGAAGGAATATGTGTGGATGGCCTGGGTACCTACCGCTGCACCTGCCCCTTGGGCTACACTGGGAAAAACTGTCAGGTAATTAAATTCCAGCCCACTCACTCAGCTTCCTCAGAGTAGCAAAGTTCCGTACCTATTTCTTTTCTAGGTACATAAGCCTCTCCTGAAAGAGAAAATTCTAGGTCTCAGGGTTGTCCCTGAGATAAATCAGGTTAACTTCTTAGTAGCTAGTAAATTGCAAAATAGTGACACTAGCCAGATAAACAATAAAATTGTTGTTAACAGCCCTAACCTGTTTGGCTCAGTGGATAGAGCATCAGCCTGCAGACTGAAGGGGCCGGAGTTTGATTCCAGTCAAGGGCATATGCCCAAGTTGCAGGCTCAATCCCCAGTGGGGGGTGTGCAGGAGGCAGCCAGTCAATGATTCTCTCTCATCATTGATGTTTCTAGCTCTCTCTCTCTCTTCCTTCCTTTCTGAAATCAATAAAAAAATTGTTAACAGACTGAGAACTGCAGACAAATACATGTGGGAAGTAAGCACATAGATATTGTTTACATTGGAAATACAGAAAGGGAAAAAAGAACAATTAAAAAATTAAAATTGAAAGGTCAGATATATCTAAGGGGACAAGTGTCAGGTCTTACAATGTTGTGACAACCTCCAACCAAGCTATTCACACATCTTTTAAATGCAAATTCCTAAGTTACATTGTTCTGGACTCTTAGGAAGGACCCTCAGAACCAACTAGTCTAGCCTTTCATTTCATGGACGGAGAAACCAAGTCCCGTAGGGACAAGCCAGCTCTTCCAAGATTGCATACCAAGCACTGTGTGTAATTTTATGCTATTTTACCTCTTAAAACCGTGGTAAAATGATAGCATCACAGAACTCGCAAGAATTCGGGAATGAACGGCCACATTTAACGAGCCTTACAGGTGCCCTTCAGTAAGGCTCTGTCCGTATTGGACATGCAGATGTGACCGCCTCTGCATGTTAAACAGCTTGCTGCGGATTCTGAGGGTCGGGGACATCCTCATTGGCTTTCTGCTCATTCTCACGGTGTGAGAGTATAAATGCTGGTGGAGCACTCTGCCCTTCCCCCGCCGGCCCCTCCTTTCACAAACCCTCTGTATTGTGAAGTTCCTGCCTCTCCCAGAGGCCACATGGGACAATGGAGAAAGGCCCAAGTCTGCTTGCACTCTTTGCCTCACGTTTTCATAAGCCTGATTTTCTCCGCTTGAAACAAGCTGTTTGACAGTTTTTAGGCTTATTAACAGGCTTTAAGATCATGCTCATCACAGGCAGGTTTGCTCGAGACCCCTGTGGATTCCTCGCACAGGATTGGCACGGGGAGACGTGTACCTGTCTGACAGCTTGACTCCTGCTTTCTAGCCTGACAGTGTGACCCTATATCCAGACATACTCATGATGTAGGGAATAGCTTAACCTATAGGGCTTCCTCAAATTCTTCCATTTCTCTCATAAGAACTGTTTAAATAGCAGAGCTAAGAGGAATTGGACTATATAAAATGATTAGATTACTTGAGGACACTGGATCTAGTTTAAGGCTTGGGTGAGGGCTTTATTATTATTATTTAATATAATTTTATTGACTTCAGAGAGGGAGGGAGAAGGAAGAGAAAGATAGAAACATCAATGATGAGAGAGAATCATCAACCGGCTGCACTCCGCACACCCCACACTAGGTATTGAGCCCACAATCTGGGCATGTGCCCTGACCAGGAATCAAACCGTGACCTCCCGGTTCATAGGTGGATGCTCAACCACTGAGCTACGCCGGCAGGTTGAGTGACAGCTTTTGGGGAAAAGTAATTAACGTGGTTCTCTTTGATTACTTAAAATGCAGCGTAACCTATTCTCTTCGTTTCCGGTGTGTGGATGTTGACATGTGTGTGCCTCTGTTTCAGACCCTGGTGAACCTGTGCAGTCGGTCTCCATGTAAAAACAAAGGCACCTGCATTCAAGAGAAAGCGCACTCCTGGTGCCGGTGTCCACCTGGGTGGGCTGGTGCCTACTGCGACGTGCCCAATGTCTCCTGTGAGGTGGCGGCCAAGGGAAGAGGTAAGCTCTGCCCCTCAGGCCCAAGGGCCATTCCCTGAAGTATTGACTGGCCAACGGCATTTAGGGCAGGCATTGTTACTGTGAGGTGAGAGGGGAGGGCAGGCAGTACGGGGTGGGCAAGGCTCTGGCAGAAGGGCCTGAGATGAAAGGGCAGAGGAACAGGCTTAGAGATTCCAAAACAGAAATGTATTTCTATGCCTCTTCTTGATGCATTCGGCTATCAGTGGACACCTAGGTTGCTTCCTTAGCTTGGCTGTTGTAAATTATTCTGTGATGAGCATAGTAGTGAATATATCTTTTCACATTCGTGTTTTCGTTTTCTTTGGATAAATACCCAGAGGTGGAATTGCTGGGTTAAATGGTAGTTCTATTTTTAATTTTTTGAGGAACCTTCATACTTCGCCAGTTTACAATCCCACCAACAGTGCACAAAGGCTCCCTTTTCTCCGCATTCGTGCCAACACTTGTTGTTTCTTGTTATTTGTTGACTGTGATAATAGCCTTTCTGACCGGTGTGAGGTCTGTCCCATTGTGGTTTTAATTTGCATTTTCCTGGTGATTAGTGATCTTGAGCATCTTTTCATATGTCTGTTGGCCATCTCTGTCTTCTTTGAAGAAATGTCTATTCAGGTCCTCTGCTCATTTTAAAAATAAAAATTTTGATGTTGAGTTATATGAATGATTTATGTATTTTGGATATTAATCCCTTATCAGATATATGATTTGCAAATATCTTCTCCCGCTCAGTAGGTTGTCTTTTCATATGGTTTTACTTATATGTGGAGCCTAAAAACAAAAAACAGAAAAACAGACTTAGAGATACAAAGAACAAACTGATGGTTGTTGGAGGGATGGTGGGTTAAAAACATGAAGGAGCGCTAGCCGGTTTGGCTCAGTGGATAGAGCGTCAGCCTGTGGACTGAAGGGTCCCAGGTTCGATTCCAGCCAAGTGCACATGCCTGGGTTGCGGGCTCGATCCCCAGTAGGGGGTGTGCAGGAGGCAGCCGATCAATGATTATCTCTCATCATTGATGTTTCTATCTCTCTCTCCTTCTCCCTTCCTCTCTGAAATTAATAAAGAAATATATTTTAAAAATTAAAAAAAATAAAAACATGAAAGGGATTAAGAGGTACAAACTTCCAGTTATAAAATAAAAAAGTCATGGAGATGTAGTTTATAGCTTAGGGAATATAGTCAATAATATCATCATAATGTTGTATAGTGTCAGATGGTTACAGCACTTATCAAAGTGATCACTTCGTGAGATATATACATATAAATTATGAATTATTATCATGGTGTGCACCTAAAACTCATATAATGTTGTATGTCACTATACTTTCATAAGAACAAGAACTGTATTTTAAGTGAAACGAAGACATGTGCCACTTTCAGGGCTTGTTTATTTTCAACACATATCCGATGTCAGGGTCCCTGAATTAGACGGGAATAAAAGCCAATGTGCCCACTGGCTTGATGAGTTTGATCAGAGCTTGTCTGAACCTGACACGTCCTGTGTCTTCTGTGACATGTCTTCCTCCTCTGGTTCCCCAGGGGTGACCCCCGACCGCTTGTGCCAGCACTCGGGCGTCTGCATCAATGCCGGCAACTCGCACCACTGCCAGTGCCCCCTGGGCTACACCGGAAGCTACTGCGAGCAGCAGCTGGACGAGTGTGCGTCCAATCCCTGCCAGCACGGAGCCACCTGCAGGGACTTCATTGGTGGATACCGATGTGAGGTAAGAGGCAGGCACACAGAAGAGACCTCCCGGACGATGGTGCAGCTATTGTGAACACCAGCGTATTGAATTTAGCTGCATATGTCTTAATTTTACAAATTTTAACCAAACACCATTCCAGTGTTTCCTGTGAAAGCATACATTTGTTTCTTTCAGTCCCCTGTGCCGTAAGTTAGCGTAGCTATAGCAAGATATTTTCAGCGGTCTGGAACCATCTCACTTCCCTGGGGCTGCCTCTGCTCGTTTTAACACTCAGAGCCAGTATTCACTGCCTGAGCCTGGAGATGAATAATATACCACCATCCACACGACTACTTGGCCGAGTCATAGCATCTTCATGACCTACAAGGGAATGAATGCATCTTTTAAAGATGGGACAGCTGCCCCCAGGAGGGACAGGCGTTTTGCATAGGGGCCTGTCTGAAACATCCCTCAGGATCCAGTCCTTGCCATCCACGATGGTGGCTTTTTCAGCGGGAAGAGGTCAATGCGGGTGGGCGGCAGTCAGCCCCGCACAGGATGATGGTTGGGAGGGGGGTGATGTCAGAAACACGCCGGAGCCAGGACGCGGGGCAGAGGTCACGGTATCGTGCCAGATGTCATTTGCTCTCGTGGTCTGTTTCCAACGATGGTCCAGTATTTCTTGTCCTTCTGTCTGCCCCTGGCAGTGTGTCCCAGGATACCAGGGTGTCAACTGCGAGTACGAGGTGGATGAGTGCCAGAACCAGCCATGCCAGAACGGAGGCACCTGTGTCGACCTGGTGAACCATTTCAAGTGCTCCTGCCCGCCAGGCACCCGCGGTAGGAAATCAGCCTTACCCATTCTCTGTCCAGGGCTTTCTCTAAGTTACAAATGCAATTTTACTGTTGGGAGGAGGCGTTAAAAATCAGACATTTAGTTCTGAATTCTGGTAACTCGCCGTTTCATTCACTTGCCTCTTGCCTGGCTCTGAGGTTCTGACTCATGTCCTTAGTGCTGTCTGTGTCTTGCTGACATCTGATGTTCCATGAAACACAGAATGTGGAAATCATAGAATTTTGCAACAACATTAGCCTGGTGGCGAGATTTCTTGGAGCTTCGAGGAAAACAGCCAGTGGCCTCCTAAATAAATGATTCCCATTTACCAGCTGATGTGTGTTTTTAAACTGCCAAGTCTGGTCCCTCTAAGGTGGGGAAATGAATGGAATGAAAACCCTTGCTGGAGAGCAGGGTTCCCAGAACGGTCCTAATTCTCGCTCCCCCCCGCCCCAGGCCTGCTTTGTGAAGAGAACATTGACGACTGTGCCAGGGGGCCCCACTGCCTCAACGGTGGGCAGTGTGTGGATAAGATCGGGGGCTACAGCTGCCGCTGCCTGCCTGGCTTTGCCGGAGAGCGGTGTGAGGGGGACATCAACGAGTGCCTGTCCAACCCCTGCAGCTCGGAGGGCAGCCTGGACTGCGTACAGCTCACCAACGACTACAAGTGCGTCTGCCGCAGCGCCTTCACAGGTGAGGCCTCTCCACGAGGAGGCGGGGCCTGGGGGGCCCACCCAGACCCGAGGGAGCTTTTCTTAGGCAGGAAAACTAGACCAGCATCGGTCAGGGCCCAGTTTCTTCTTAGATCTGTGCTCCATAGATTTTATAGTTTGTCTACAACCTCTATATTTTCTCTTTTGCTATACATTGATTTTATATATATATTTATACGCATATGTAATATATATACATTTACTAGTATGTAGCAGAGATATAAAAAAAATAGAATGTTGGGAGTAGTTGAGCAAAATCACATTTTTGATTGCAATAAAATACACATAAAATCTACCATCTCAACCATTTTTAAGCGCACAGCTCAGTGATGTAAGTACGGTCACGCTGTTGAGCTGCCATCACCAGCATCCATCCACAGAGCTCTTTTCCTCTGAGCAATACCAGTGGGGAAATGAAATCTGGAAAGTTAAGCTATATTTTAAAGCAGCACCAATCAGGCTTCAAAAAGGCTAAAAAATGATTGAAAAGAGATGTTATGGATGAAAATTCTCTATAAATTGCAAATCAGCATTTATATGTATTGGTCTGGGGAAGTCTCCTATGAAGCAGACGATGTTAACAAAATGCAGTGAACAGTTTTGCGAAATGTTTCCTTTGACTTATGACAGCTAAATGCCTTCACTAAGAAGCTGTGTCGTTTTCCTTTTCTGTGTGTGTGTGTGTGTGTGATGGTTTTAGAGTCACTTTTCATATCCATCCTGTTCTGTGAGTCAGGTGGGAAAGTAGGCCAGGCGTGCTTGTCGTGTAGATGAGACAGGTGAGGGGGTGGGTCAGGCACCATGAGGTCGGCGCGTGCTTCTCCCTGTCTCTGTGGCTGAGACCTGAGCGCTCATACCTCCCACCCCACCTCTGACCTCTGACCCTGGGCGCGCTCACACCCTCCCAGTGCTCTGCTCAGTACCTTGCAGCTACACTCTGCCTCCTAAAGCTCCTTTTCATTTTCTTCTTGGAGGTCGTCACTGTGAAACTTTCGTCGACGTGTGTCCCCAGATGCCTTGCTTGAATGGAGGGACTTGTGCCGTGGCCAGCAACATGCCTGATGGTTTCATTTGCCGTTGTCCCCCGGTAAGTGCCGTGTTGCCTCCTGAAGGCGCACGCTGTCTTCATACGGTCTGACGAGCCGAGCTTAGCTGGTCTTCGTGGGGGGCTTTCTTGGTGGGAGGTTTCTCCATTGCAGCTCCCTTAGAAGAAAGTGCTTGGGTTTTCCGTGTAGAGTTAAGAAACTGACACAGTGGGCGCCCTCGTCTGCGACTGTGGGTCTTCAGAAGCAGCGAGGGAACCCGCACGCGGTGGGGGGTGCTCCCCGCAGAGAGGACTGCTGTCTCTGGCTGCGGGTGCTGCGCTGGAGGTGGTCTTGTTGCCTGGCCGGGGGCAGAGTTGGTTGGAAACGCAGCCTCGCCTGCATTCCTCAGCAGGGGCTGTTGGGGAGCAAGCTGCTGCTTAAACTAGAAGGAAGCCTGATTTTAGCCATGTGCTGTGCAGGCCCCTTTGCCGCTGGCAGAGGCTGAAACCTCCCTAAAACAGAGATCACGGTGTGGAGGCCCCGAGGGGAAGCCTGTGCAGGCACCCTGGCCAGGCCGCGCAGGAAGTGGAGGAATGACTGGCATGGGGAAGTGTATTTACCCAGAACTCCTGAAGTGATTCCCCACACTCCCCAAAGGCCTTACATAAGCGATGGAACAATGGTTAGGAAAGGTGCTAACAGATGCAGTGTCCCTGCGTCTTATCCCATCACGACCTGTGGACTTAATTTGGGCGTGATCTTAAGTGGCTAGAACTCACATCATCCCAAGGGTTGACTTGAAGAGGTCTCTTGCAACTTGGTCCAGTTGGCTGCGTGGAGGAATCTTAGCCTCCCTAGTGGTGTGGCCGAAGGCTTGGGAGGGGAAATGGGATGTGCCCTCAAGAATCGATCCCCCCATCCTCATTTGTTCACTGATTTCCGCAGGGGTTCTCCGGGGCGAGATGCCAGAGCAGCTGTGGACACGTGAAGTGTAGGCGAGGGGAGCAGTGTGTCCACACGCCCTCAGGACCCCGCTGCTTCTGCCCCAACCCCCAGGAGTGCGAGCTGGGCTGTGCCAGCAGCCCCTGCCAGCACGGGGGGAGCTGCCTCCCGCAGCGCCAGCCCCCATATTACTCCTGCCAGTGCCCTCCGCCGTTCCGGGGCAGCCGCTGTGAGCTCCACATGGCCCCCACCAGCACCCCACCTGCCACCTGTCACAGCCAGTACTGTGCCGACAAAGCTCGGGACGGCGTCTGCGATGAGGCCTGCAACAGCCATGCCTGCCAGTGGGACGGGGGTGACTGCTCCCTCACCATGGAGAACCCCTGGGCCAACTGCTCCTCCCCACTGCCCTGCTGGGATTACATCAACAACCAGTGTGATGAGCTGTGCAACACGGCCGAGTGCCTGTTTGACAACTTCGAGTGCCAGGGGAACAGCAAGACGTGCAAGTAAGGGTCCTGGGTCCCTCGAAGCGGAGGGCGACTGTCACTAACACACCTCGGTTTCCTGTTCTTGCTCCTAACCACTCCAGCGCTTCCGCCCGACCTGCCTCTGCTTTCAGACTGGTGCCCGAGGCCCTCTGCTTCCTGGCGCCGGCCTCGTCCCACCGCACGCCGCCCGGGGCGCTGCCTGGCTGGCAGAGGTCCAGGGATGCTCCTTGCACAACCACTCTCTCTCTGCCTATTTCTGCCTTCTCACCTGCTGCTCTCGTGACCTCCTGGGGAAATGCCTTTTGGAAGTGGTGTTGCCCACTCTCAGGCAGCCTCTCACGTAACCTGCCCGCAGGATGGATGGAAAGGTCTGTACCTCTGCCTGCTCACCCCCCACCTTTCCCAGCTGGGTTTTTCAGGAAGCGGAGCTAGGTTAGGCCGCGCAGCCCTCCTGGTCTTCGCTTTGCAGCTACAGGGCACTCTGTGGGTCGCATGGAGACTGTCCTGTTAGCTGTCCCATTCTATTTGCCTCTGATGAGTTCTCCACAGCCTGGTGAGGCGTGGGTGTTGTTAATGGTCTTTCAAGGGTGAGGGAACCGAGACCCAGCAGTTAAATTGCCAAAGCACACCCAGCGCTTCCTGACACCTCAGTGCTTGCTGAGCTAGTGTGGCAGCTTGTGCCGAATGGTATGACTGTCACAGGGTGTCAGGGAGGGGAGTGCCGATGAAGTGGACTGTGCACCATTTAGGCTCTGGGACTCCATTTCCTTTTCCTAGTATTTGAAAGAGGCTGTACAAGTTAGATGTGGTTTCCTGTATGGGACACACCTCCCCGCCCACCTTCCCTAGCTGGGACTCAGTGTGGGTGGGGAGGATAGGGGCCATATGGACATGTCTTGATGGCTCGGAGCTATGTATCCAGATTCTGGAGGCATCTTTACTTCCAATGCCCCTGGTTACCTCGCCAGGGGCGGTGCAGACGGAAATAGAGGAAGCATGAGGCAGGTTGATTTTCCTCTTGTTTGTCCACCTGACTTAAAAACACGATGAGCTGCCAGGGGCCCCTAGCCCGTGTGGCATAGTGAGCACGTGCTGTCTCTCCTTCAGGGCGCGCCCCCTGAAGCTGTGTGGCGCAGACTCTGTGCTCTAAGATGGCAGGGGCGGGAGATCCAGGGAAGGCGTCACGAGCATCTGGGGCCTGACCTGGGCCACAGAAGATGGGTAGGGAAAATATAGTTCCCAGTGGAAAACCAAATGGAGCTGCGGCCTCGTCTGAGCCCCTCCCCCCGGCCTGCCTCCCTGCCCAGGTACGACACGTACTGCGCAGACCACTTCAGGGACGACCACTGCGACCAGGGCTGCAACAGCGAGGAGTGCGGCTGGGACGGGCTGGACTGCGCTGCTGACCGGCCGGAGAACCTGGCCGAGGGGACCCTGGTGATCGTGGTGCTGATGCCCCCCGAGCAGCTGCTGCAGGACGCGCGCAGCTTCTTGCGGGCCCTGGGCACCCTGCTGCACACCAACCTGCGCATCAAGCAGGACCCCCAGGGGCACCTCATGGTTTACCCCTACTACGGCGAGAAGCCAGCTGCCCTGAAGAATCCGAGGCTGGCACGCAGGTCCCTTCCTGAGGATCCAGACCAGGAGGTGGCCGGGTAGGTTTTTGGTTTTTGAGGGTTTTTTTTTTTAGATATATTTTTACTGATTTCGGAGGAGAGCTAGAAATATCAGTGATGAGAGAGAATCATTGATCAGCTGCCTCCTGCATGCCCCCCATTGGGGATTGAGCCCACAACCCGTGCCCTGTCCAGGAATCGAACTGTGACTTCCTGGTTCATAGGTTGACGCTCAACCCCTGAATCATTCATGCCGGCTGGGCGATGAGCTTCTTAAAGCTTAGTTTTATAAAGCTGAGCACTTTGATTCACAGAGGAAGTCATAACGTAATCTGTGAAAATGCAAAGCCCAGACAAATAAAACAGCCCACCAGGTAAAACAGACGCATGGTCCCAGGATCTGTGTCTAAGACTAAAGGTTTGCCTTGATCTTGGGGATCTGCAAGGTGGGCTGGAGCGAGCACGAGGCAGGAGGCAGGGAGGCCTCCTCAGATGCTGGCCTCCCCAACCTCTCGCCAGGTCACCTCACATCCCTTTAGTGGGACTTCTCTCTTGTATCAGTCCTTGGTGTCTCAGCTGTGTGTGGCCTCAGTCAGAAGGCCTGGACTCAGCCCAGGAAGGTGAGGCACCCCCTAAGCAGGAATCAGTGTGTAGGATCTGAAGGAGAAATACTTTGATTTCTGTGAGCTTTCTGGAAGAGGCAGCACCACAGAGCAGAGAGGCCGACACTGCAGGAGACAAGGAAGGCTCGTGCAGTGCTGCCTAACTCCTCATTGCTCTTTCTCCTCTTTCCCCTGGGCACCCACAGCTCTAAGGTATTTCTGGAAATCGACAACCGCCAGTGTGTTCAAGATTCAGACCAGTGCTTCAAGACCACGGATGCAGCTGCAGCTCTTCTGGCCTCTCACGCTATCCAGGGCACCCTGTCCTACCCGCTTGTCTCTGTCGTCAGTGAGTAGCAGTGCTTTAGGGGGAAGGTATGGGGGGCGTCACCTGGGGACAAAGAGGAAGGGCACACTCCTCAACATGCAGCTCTTCATTGTTCAGGGCTGGGAGCTCCCAGCTGCCCTCAGGATAAACGTAAAGCTAGTGTGGGGAGGTCGATGTCTTATCAACATGTTTCCTGTCGCTTGCACTTGCAGGTGAATCCCTGGGTCCCAAACCCACCCAGCTGCTCTATCTCCTTGCCGTCGCCGTTGTCATCATCCTGTTCCTTCTGCTGCTGGTGGTCATCATGGCAAAACGGAAGCGGAAGCACGGCTCCCTCTGGCTGCCCGAAGGCTTCACCCTTCGCCGGGAGTCCAGCAATCACAAGCGCCGCGAGCCGGTGGGACAGGATGCCGTGGGGCTGAAGTAAGCCGGCTTGCCCGCAGCACCGCTCACAGCAGTGAGGAGCAGGGGTAGAGCAGGCAGGCAGGTCGTGTGGGTGATGCCTTTAGCTCCGAGCTCGGACCACATCGCCACACGTGACCACACTCTGGGTGCCCCCTGAGCAGCTGTGAAATAGCAGCCAGAGGCCGGTGCTTCCGACCTGTACATGTATCTGTCGCGTTGGTGCTCAGCCTCTGTGTTGAGGCACACTTTTTGTTCTGTTTTGTTAATCCTCACCTGAGGATATCCTTTCCCATTAATTTTTAGAGAAAGTGGAAGGGAGGAGGAGAGAGAGAGACAAAAAGAAAGATGGATGTGGAGAGACACATCATTGGTTTTCTCCCGCATACACCCTGACAGGGCCAGAGACCCTGCAACCCAGGCACATGCCTTTGACCGGAATCGAACCTGAGACCCTTTAGTATGCAGGCCAATGCTCTAAACACTGAGCACACAGGCCAGGGCAAGGCACACCTTTGTTGTAAGCTCTTGATCGGCGGGAAAGAAAGGATGTTTACTCCAGTAAAGGGATGTAAAACGCTGCCCATCCCTGTGGGCCAAAGCGAGTAGAGAGGAGAGTGTGTCCTGGTGGGACAGGTGTGGCGATCCTCCGGATCCATTGATGATACGCCTCTTCTCTTGTTTTCCGACCTAACCCTGGCCATCAGGAATCTCTCCACGCAAGTCTCAGAGGCTAACCTGATAGGTTCTGGAACAAGTGAGCATTGGGTCGACGATGAAGGGCCCCAGCCAAAGAAAGCCAAGGTGAGTTGGCAACCATCGGCCACGCTCGGGCCACATTTCCATTCCTGTCCTTAGGAGCAGGAGTGTCCCAAATGGGAGTGATCCTCATTATACGTTGCCCGGGCCACAGCTATTCCAGGTGGTCATGAAAGGCAGGGATCTCCAGGTCATTGCTGGCCTTGGGTATCCTCTGTGTGTTTTCAGTAAGAACTCTAAGAATAATAATACAGGCAACAAGCATGCTTTCTTCCTGAAGTGCCGTAGATGGCAGCCCGGTAAGGACTGAGGTGTGTAAACAGTTTCCTGCTGGCTCCATCGCGCCCTTGCTCTGTCGGGCATTTCCCCTCTGGAAGGGAGGGTGGGATTAACAGTAAAGAAGCCAGTGGCCATTAGAGGCTCCTCATCTTGAACTTAGGAACTAACGCCATTTAGAAGTAAGAGGTGGATTGGGCTGGGGCTGAGGTGGAAAGGGAGGCCATCGGTCCGTAGCTATACGAGGCTGGGACGTGCGCATCCCGTGGGTATTCTAAGTCAGCGTGAGGAGGTGGACCTTGAATATTACCGGCACACACTGAGCACAGTCAGAGTCAAGTCCAAAACTCTGCTACTTGGTAGCTGGCAAGTTATATAACCTCCTTGTATATTACCCTTGTTTGTAAAATAATGCTATTAACAGGGGTATTAATAATTCTTTTCTCTGTGAGTTGTTGTGGGGATTAAATAGAGCAGTACATGTACTAGTAAAGTGCCTTACCTACTTCCTGTCCCATGCTAGATACTCAGGAACGGGCAGCTGCGTTTGAAATTGTAATAATAATTATTGCTCAACAAATATTTCTCAGGCACTTGCTCTGTGCCCGGCACTTGCTCGCACAGGGAGGCAGCCCTGGGAAGGGTGTGGCCCCTGTTCTCGGGAACCTTAGTCTGTCTAGTGGTAGCGACTGGGGTGCAGGTGCCCAGGAGCACCCCGCACGGGGTCAGGAAGGAGAGGGGAGCAGAGTGCTCTTCAGGACCCACGGGAGGAATTAAAGTCCAAAGTCATTTGAAGGGGCGATAGGAGTTCATCAGAGGATTGGGGGAGACCCTGGCAGACAGAGGGACCAGCGTGAGCAAATGCCCAGAAGCAAGGAACTGGCACCTCGGGGACCTATAAATAGCATGTTAGATAGGCAGACACGTCAGGTATTAAGGCTGAGGCTAGAGTTTGGGCGGTGGAGGTGGGAGAGCTGTACGGTGACCCTGGACAGGTGAGCAGGAGCTGGGAGGCGGCCGTGGATGCAGATCTGAGGGTTGGAGGCGGGGCTGAGGGGAAGCTGGCAGGAGGCTCGGGACTAGCTTCGTCCGCAGCTCCTGGTTGGGGGCAGCTTCACAGCCGGCGTGCCGTCCCCTTTCAGGCTGAAGCCGAGGCTTTGCTCTCAGAAGACGACCCCATCGATCGACGCCCGTGGACACAGCAGCACCTCGAGGCCGCAGACATCCGCAGGACCCCGTCGCTGGCCCTCACGCCCCCGCAGGCGGAGCAGGAGGTGGACGTGCTGGACGTGAACGTCCGGGGCCCAGGTCAGCACCCAGCCTCCCCTCACGAGGCCACGCCTGCCTGGGTTCTGTGTTGTCCCTCCCATGTCTGCCCTGCTTGGTGATGTGCCCCCAGCCAGTTTCCCAGGCGCTGAGTCAGCGTGGGGAGACAGTGCTGAGGAATAGGGACATGCAGGCATGAACTCACAGGAGCAGACAGGGAGGATCGCACACCACTTCACGCCCAGCGTGCTTGCAAACAAGTGGGCTGATTATATGAGATAGATTTCATTTACTTTTTTGTTTGTGTTTGGGGGTAGGGGTGGGGTGGGGTTTTTTTATTATTAATCCTCATCCAAGGATATTTTTAGTGAGTGGAAGGGAGGAGGAGAGACAGAGACACATCATAGGTTGCCTCCCCCACACAATCTGACAGGGGCTAGGGATCGAGCCTGCAACCGAGATACGTACCCTTGACTGGAGTCAAACCTGCAACCCTTCAGTCTGTGGGCCAAACCGGCTAGGACAAGAGAGATTTTAGTACAACAGAAAAATCGTATCCCAAAGCAGAGGGATGGAGAATTCATTTAGCTGAAACTTCGGTGCCTGTAGCTCTATTAACACTGAATATTTTAAATTGTCCATTTAAAAGTAACATAGCCCTTAGGGACTTGCACAGAAAGCTTGTTTAACTTCAAGAAGAACCCTTCTTGCTGCCTCACTACCCTTTACTGGGGGGCCATTCCCGGTGGAAGAGCAGGTGGCCAGTGTCACCAGAAGCACAGGGATTCTTCCCAGTCGAATAACGTGACTCGTGTTGAACTGTCCGGCAGCGGGGTGAATTGAACACGAGGGCCGTTCTCCTCCTGAGTCCCGGGTTCTCCTTTCCTGTAGATGGGTGCACCCCGCTGATGCTGGCTTCCCTCCGAGGAGGCAGCTCAGATGTGAGTGAGGAAGATGAGGACGCAGAGGACTCGTCTGCCAACATCATCACAGACTTGGTCTACCAGGGGGCCAGCCTGCAGGCCCAGACAGACCGGACCGGCGAGATGGCCCTGCACCTGGCCGCACGCTACTCCAGGGCAGATGCCGCCAAGCGTCTCCTGGACGCAGGTGCAGACGCCAACGCCCAGGACAACATGGGCCGCTGCCCTCTCCATGCTGCAGTGGCGGCTGATGCCCAAGGTGTTTTCCAGGTAAAGAACATGATCTGCAGTGTCTTATCTTTGTTAAGGCACTTAGCGCCCCATTACATTCACTCCGTACTTCTTTCAGAGAATAACGCAGGTGGCAGAGCCGGGCTTGCTAGATGGGAAAGCCGGAAAAGGGAGGCAGGCAAATTGACCTAATTGTCGGTAGCCAGGGTGTGACAGACCCGACAGCAGTGTTCTGAGTGCGAATCACGTGGTTTTCTGAGGTGCCAGAATGCCTCCCAGATGAGTAGATCGAGGGGAGTGGTACCTGTGATGAAGCCTTTGCTAGTGTCAGCTTCTGCCTACAGGTTTACCTGACCACGTGGGCTTCCACGGGCTCCTCTGTGGTTTTCTTTACGTGAAGTCACAGTGTGCTCCTTGATGCCCTTGTATTGCACCCTTTTGAGGAAATTGGAAGCATCCTGTACACCGCAATGGAGGTGGTGGTATTTTCCCACACCCTCCTTCTTTCTTTAGAAAGTAGAACTTCACTTTACATGGAGTCTTGAGCACATGTTTGTTCGGTCGTTCGTTCATTCATTCATTCCACAACATGTTGATTGATCCTGGTAGAGACTCAGGCACAAAAAGAACAAGACATTTCTTCCCCTCCAGGAACTCACAGCGTGGCCTCCACTACGATGCCCTTGGTCTTCCTCTCAGTGTCATTACATTCTTCATCCGGGTGACTCTCTCTCCTGTACTTTCCCTTCTAGATCCTGATCCGCAACCGAGTGACCGATCTGGATGCCAGGATGAACGATGGCACCACACCCCTGATCCTGGCTGCGCGCCTGGCTGTGGAGGGGATGGTGGCGGAGCTGATCAACTGCCAAGCAGACGTGAACGCGGTGGATGACCACGGTAGGGAGCGGCGGGGTTGGGATTCTGACCTCCAGAGCATCCTCTAAGGGGGAGGGTTGTTGATCCTTAAAGACCTGCCTCGGGTCCAGAGCCACTGAAGTTTCATCCGTCCATCCATTCTTTCTCTTAACATGATGAGCTTGGAGAGCTGAGCCATTGGGAGGTGTGTGAATGAAGAGGGGAAGGGATGGTTAGGGAGGGCTCAGGGCCTCAAAGCAGGTCTGAAAGGTTTGCCTGTGTGAGCTGCCTGGCCTGCCATTCTCATGAGGACGTAAGAGAGCCGGATTCCCTGGGATGGGGCACCGTTAGAGACCCTAAGTATACGTTTGGGCGTGTATACATACATACGGTCTTCACTGCGGCAGGGTCAGTTCTGCCATGTGGAGGGCAGGGGCACCACAGACAAATGGTCCTCATCCTGGGAGGTCCTCTGGAGGCTGAGCAGCCTGCACGCAGCACTCCTAGAACCGGGGGAAGGAGGAAGCACTTGGACCCCACAGGGAACTGACGTCCTGACGCGAGGAGCGGGACGTGTCCTCTACGCCGCCTGCTTACACGAACGTTTCTCTTGCAGGAAAATCTGCTCTTCACTGGGCAGCGGCTGTCAACAACGTGGAGGCGACGCTTTTGCTGCTGAAAAATGGGGCCAACCGAGACATGCAGGACAACAAGGTGCAGTCTGGGCTCCATCTGAGGCCTCCCCTGCCTCCCGCAGCCCCGCCTGTGATCAGTGTAGACAGAGGAGGAAGCGGGCTGGACGGGAGCCTTAGGAAGGGCATCGGGCTCCCCCAGGGAAGGGCCGGGGCTGAGCTTCTTGCCCACGTGGTACTCAGCCTGCTGCAGGCTGTTCTGCACGTGACTCGGTGCAGCCTCGCTGCCTCGCTCGTCTTGGACGGCCCTTCTGCGTGCCCTGCCTGCTCCTGCTCACTCCTTTCTCGTTTGTCTTCCTGCTGCTCTTCTTTTCTGCTCTTGGACCACGTGTTTTCCTGTTTGCTTTTCTTCCTCTGAGTTTTGGGTCAGGCTTCCCTCTCTGGCTCATCTTCTCCCTCCCCCCTCCTTTAGTTCTTCTTTGTGCATGTCCTTTCTCCGCTTTCTTTTACTTTTCCCAGCTCTGCACATGCTTTATGTTCTCCCCTGCTGCCTGGCTTATTTCGAACGCGTTCGCCTACTTTGATGAGCTCCGTGCTCTAAAACATTCCCAGCTAAGGAGACACTGCCCTCAACGGGAAAATTGGTTCCTGGGCTGGGGTGAAATAATCGTACTCTTTCGCCTGAAGCATAGATATCCGTTCAGCACATAGCTAGAGAGACAGTCTATCGGTGGCATTAAAATTTCACGCAGGGGGGCAGTTTGGGAAAAAATGTCTAAGGGGAGGGTGATAGTAAAAGGATTGAGAAGCATGGCTCTGGTCTCAGGAGAGTCATTCATTCAACTGTGCTCTTGGTGGGCCTTCCCTGCAGGAGGAGACGCCGCTGTTCCTTGCTGCCCGGGAGGGGAGCTATGAGGCCGCCAAGATCCTCTTAGACCATTTTGCCAACCGGGACATCACAGACCACATGGACCGCCTGCCCCGGGACGTGGCTCGGGAGCGCATGCACCACGACATCGTGCGCCTGCTGGACGAGTACAACGTGGCGCCGAGCCCTCCGGGCTCCGTGCTGACCTCTGCCCTCTCCCCCGTCATCTGCGGGCCCAACCGGCCCTTCCTCAGCCTCAAACACACTCCGATGGGCAAGAAGCCCAGACGGCCCAACGCCAAGAGCGCCGTGCCCACCAGCCTCCCTAACCTGGCCAAGGAGGCCAAGGAGGTCAAGGGTGGCAGGAGGAAGAAGTCGCTGAGTGACAAGGCCCAGCTGTCGGAGAGCTCCGTGACTCTGTCCCCCGTCGATTCCCTCGAGTCCCCTCACACCTACGTTTCCGACACCACCTCCTCCCCAATGATCACATCCCCTGGCCTCCTACAGGCCTCGCCCAACCCCATGCTGGCCGCGGCCGCGGCCCCCGCCCCCGTCCACGCACAGCATGCACTGTCCTTCTCTAACCTCCGTGAGATCCAGCCTTTGGCCCACGGGCCCGGCAATGTCCTTCCCTCGGTGAGCCAGCTGCTGTCCCACCACCACATGGTGCCCCCAGGCAGCGGCAGTGCGGGCAGCGTGGGGAGGCTGCATCCGGTCCCTGTCCCGGCAGACTGGATGAACCGCATGGAGATGAATGAGAGCCAGTACAATGAGATGTTTGGTATGGTACTGGCACCAGCTGAGGGCACCCCTCCTGGCATAGCTCCTCAGAGCAGGCCGCCGGAAGGGAAGCATATGACCGCCCCCCGGGAGCCCTTGCCCCCCATCGTGACTTTCCAGCTAATCCCCAAAGGCGGGATTGCCCAACCCGCCGGGGCACCCCAGCCTCAGACCAGCTGCCCTCCGGCTGCTGCAGGCTCCATGCCCACCATGTACCAGATTCCAGAAATGGCTCGTTTGCCCAGCATGGCGTTCCCCGCTGCCGTGATGCCCCAGCAGGACGGGCAGGTCGTTCAGACCATCCTCCCCACCTACCACCCTTTCCCAGCCTCCGTGGGCAAGTACCCCACGCCCCCTTCACAGCATAGTTACGCTTCCTCCAATGCCGCCGAGCGAACGCCCAGCCACAGTGGTCACCTGCAGGGGGAGCATCCCTACCTGACCCCATCCCCAGAGTCTCCTGACCAGTGGTCAAGTTCGTCACCCCACTCTGCTTCTGACTGGTCAGACGTGACCACCAGCCCCACTCCCGGGGGGGCCGGAGGAGGTCCGCGGGGACCGGGGACACACATGTCTGAGCCAGCACGCAGCAACATGCAGGTTTACGCGTGAAAGCCTGCCTCCGGTGCAGGCACAGAACTGCCTATTGTAAATGCTGCTGAGGACAAATGAAGGTCATCCGGGGGAGAAATGAAGAAATCTCTGGGACCAGCTTCTGGAGGCAGAAGAGAGGAGACGCTCTTACCTCTCAGCTACTGCAAGGAAAGCAGTCCCATCAGCGTCAGCAGGTGTCTGCAGGGCTCTGGGAGGGAGCGACACGCCTCATAATCTCTGGCCCATCAAGCCAAGTGCGTTGGAAATGCAAGATGAATACGAGACTTGGGACCATGTTTACCCTCTTTTACTTGGAGAATGGACGGATGCCTGTTGTAGCTCAGACATTCTTGCAGCTGGGACTGCGCTGTATGCCCTGGGGGCTCCTGCCCTGTCCATGAGAAGATTCCACGGGGAATTATCCCTGGAATTCTAGCTGGACTGACCTGTCTCATCCTCTCAGCCTTGGCAATTCTTCGGACTGTTTGGTGCTTTGAGTTTTGCACCTGTCTGTGTTCGCAGCCACATCAGCACGGTACCGGCCCGGCCTCTGTGCCTTTAACCATTCCTGGTCTAGAACATAACTCTCACTGCCTTGTCCCTCCGTGTTCGCAGCCACATCAGCAAGATACCGGCCCGGCCTCTGTGCTGTTAACCATTCCTGGTCTAGAACATAACTCTCACTGCCTTGTCCCTCCGTGTTCGCAGCCACATCAGCAAGATACCGGCCCGGCCTCTGTGCTGTTAACCATTCCTGGTCTAGAACATAACTCTCACGGCCTTGTCCCTCCGTGTTCGCAGCCACATCAACAAGATACCGGCCCGGCCTCTGTGCTGTTAACCATTCCTGGTCTAGAACATAACTCTCACTGCCTTGTCCCTCCCGTTTTCCACTCTCCCTGGGTGTCTCCCGGGTGACTTTGGTTATGGTTCTCAGCATAGACCTTCCTGTTTCTTTAGAAAACGGGCATTCGGCATCCTCCTGCCTGACAGCATTCCTGGAAGAGGAGCAACATATTTTTCTTCGAACCCCATTTTGGGACAGGAGATCCCTTCAGGATGCTCCCAAGCTCCCTGGCCTGCACGCAGGGCTTCATGGAAACCTTACAGGAGGGAGGCTGAGAGTCCGTCTTTTGTTCGTGGGCCGAGTCAGTGTGCAATTTTACCCTTGGCAGTTGGGTACTATGACCCTTTTTAAAAAAAAAAAAAACCCACCAGGACTCAGAATGTTGGAATGACCAAGAGATAAACTCAATGATGCAAGAAGTGTTCCCACTGGCCGGTGCCTTCCCTCCCTGCCCAGCAGCACACTGACTCCCGTGGGAAGCCTGTGCGTGCCTCCCCGCTGGCAGAACCCTCAAGGGCTCCCCTCACTCACCCAGCGGACAAAGCTGTCTGTATATTGAGCCTTTCCTTCCACGGGTCCTCACAAGAAAACGTCTCAGACGATAATTCTCTCACCTTCTAGAATGGAACTGGCCTCGGCTCCGGGCAGCCCATGGCAGCCGTCTTCCCTTCGTTTCCTGATTCTCTTTCTGATCACAGGCCCACTCACCAGACTTCCTTTCACACCGGAGGGGCTGAGTTACCGGTGCCCCCAGTAGGTTCTCACCGAACACAGGGATTTATTTTCAAGGGCAGGAAATGGAGCCTTGGCCTCGCTCTCTAGGGTCAAGGCCAGTCCCTTGGAAAGGGAGGAACGACGAGGCAGCCCTGGCTCCTTCTTGCTACCATTCCATTTCCTTTGAAGCAGTCATGACATCTCCTTTTAGGTAACTAACAAGCTTATCAGGGACATTTTTCTTTCCTAGAGTCACCGTCTAGATGGCAGTGGACAGTTACAGATTCACTGTCCTCGACACCCTCGTGTTCGGTGTGGAAATGCATCTCACCTAAGTCTGCTCTTTGTTATTTGTGGTCTTGGCAGCTTGCATGACCCTGGGTCAGGAGCAGGAGTGTTCTAGGTAACACCAGACGTAGGAAGCTAAAGAATAGTTCCCTCCACCCCCTTCTCCCTGAGTCGGCAAATAATTGTCACATCGACCTGGTGCTATACTGTCATGGCACCGGGGAGATCAGTTCCCCGGAGCAGGTGGTAGACATTAGTAGGGGCGTTGCCTGCTCTGTTTTGGGGTGAGTAACAGTCTTCATTCCTGCCATGGCTGAGTGTTCACCAGGGCCTCCCACTTACTTGCTTTATCTGCCTGTGGCCCCGTACAGAGGAGCCCAGTGTGTCTGTTAGCAGGGAAGTCTACAAAGGATGCTTTCAGTCCTGCCCAAGTTCATGAGCCAAGAAAAAGAATTAGTTCTGCTGTAATATAAGCAGATTGTCCATTCATTCTGCATTTTATTCTCTCAGGTGGCGACTCTACCAGCCCCTTTCATAGTGTGTAACATTCTGTCACTCTAACTGCTGACTCTGTCCTTGGCTGCATTTGTTAATTCACAGGTGGGGGGTCACCTGTCTGACTCACCATGGAGCCCCACACCGGCCCCACTTACCGAAAGTGTCACCTCTGATCCAGCAGCTTGAATCTTTGATAACCTCCCTCTCCCGGCACTGTAGGCCTCACTCGCTTGTTTCTCTGTGCAGCCCTTTGGGTTTCGGGGAAGGAATGAGAGCTGCCGTCACAGACCACGGGCTTCGCCTTTCAGGCACTGGTCGGTCTCTGAGATTAGAAGGACCCTTGAGTTGTATCATATCTAATAGAAGAGATGGTGAGTTGGAGACTCACCTTCTCATTTGGTTCTGAATGGCAGACAAACTTTTAAGGGGACAGAGCTTTTATACCGTGTATAGGTCAACCCCCCACTTTGGGTTTATTTTTATAAATTCTTCCTTTGATTCTTCTGTCATCCTCTGCGGATCGATTTTTTTATTTGTTTATTTCTTCTGTTTTGTGTGAAGCATCATTTGCTGACTTAACATGATGGTGAGGGAGGGAGGGGTTTAAGGGCAAGAGAGCCTGAAAGTCTTTAGTGTAAGCCATCAGCGATGATGCTCAAGTCCATTATGTCATCTTACTATTAAGTTTGGTAGCCCACAGTTCTTGCAAAGAAAGGAACCAAAGGTGGAGTGTGCTGTCAGCAGGTGGCTTCAGGAATTTGGCCTTGATCGATAACATTGAATGCATGATGACCCTTTGATTGGACAGTTCTATGCCCCGAGGCTCCGCCCCTAACTGTCTGGTACTATGCTCCTTTCTTGTGTACATTTCTCTTAAGAGTGATATTATATGTTTGTATGAGAAAGCCCATAACCAATAAAATGACTGCATATTCCTAACTAGGCATAGTAAGGAACATGCACACTTTGTTTTTACTCTTCAAAGTTTCGTTCTAAAAGTAGTTAAGGTGAAATTTATATGAAAGCATTTTTATCATAAAATAAAAGCAGTTACATGTCAAACTTAATGGCGTGGCGGTTTTCATTTCCTGTGGCTCCGTCCTGGTGACGACCTCGTGCCCTCCTTCCTCTTCGAGAGAAATCCTTCGCTTTCCATCCTGGGCCCCACAGGGAGGGCCGGGCCCGGGGCTCCCTTTCTTCTCTTCCAGGCAGATCCCAAATCAGTGCTTTTGAGGAAGGCACTCCTGTCACATAGGAAGCATCGCAAGACTGAGTCCCTTTCCTTTGCACCAGCTGGTGACAGACGGTGGCTCAGGACCCAGCGCCTTCCAGTGGAAATTCAGGTGTTTGCCAAAGGCAGAGCTGAGGGTTAGGATATACTGAGTGATGCTGGTGGGGCTGGGACCCAAGTCGTCAGTGTGCAGTATGATTCCTCAGATTGTATATAGAACTTAATCTATACGGTTACAACATAGTATTTTGCATATAAGTATGTTACCAAGTTTATTCATTTACTTGCAGAGTCAGTCAAGTGAATGTTTGGACACAGATATTTGACATTGGTGATATCTGTGGCATTCGCCGCCTCCTATCAATTTCCATAGCGTATTTGCCGAAATAACGTTTTAACACAACTGGCAGCACATAATGGTTATCCTGGGAGGGTTATGGTTTAATATAAACATATATAGTACATGTGGGAGCTTCATGTTGGGTTTTGTAATGGTGTGGGAAGAAAATGCTTTTGCGCGCTAAGGAACGCCTCGCCTCGCCCGAGTCTTGGCCTCTCAGAGCTGGGGTTCCTCTTCAGACTTTGGGAACTCAGACTTGCTCCATGGAAACCTGCTCCAGGGGACCTGGCCCGCTCTCCATCTTCCTCCTCCCCCTTCCACTTCCAGCCTGAACCCCCAGCTCTCGATGGGGACGGGAGAATCCAGGACCCCCCCCCAGCCCTGAGATCCAAAGAAGGAGGGCAGGCTGGAGGCCACGGCTGTCGAGTCACGTAGCTGGGATGGTAGATTTGGACTCCAGGCCCTGGTCACGCAGTCATGCAGCTAACAAGTCTCCCAGCCCAAGAAGAGGCGCTGAGTTCTTCTGCAGAACGTGATGGTGATCAAGACCAACCGACCCCTGGGTGGTGGGTAAAGGGGGAAGGAACTGTGAGCCTGTCACTGCTTCTGCCTCTGTGACTGCTCCCCGGCGGGTGGCTGTGAGCATGGCCGGGTCTTCACCTCCCCTGCAGGACAGTCTTTTAAAAATAAAATAGGAATCAAGTCCTTGCAAAGGCCCTGAAGAGAGAGAGGGTGTATGTGGTGTGTGCACGTAGGGGGCAGAGGGATAGGATAACAGAGCGGGTGTTCAATTTTTCCTTCTTTTGACTTGGAGCTTAGCAAGACACATTTATTATTTTTTTGAAATATATTTTTATTGATTTCAGAGAGGCAGGGAGAAGGAGAGAGAGATAGAAACACCAATGATGAGAGAGAATCATTGATCGGCTGCCTCCTACGCTCCCCACACTGGGGATCCAGCCCACAACCTGGGCATGTGCCCTGACCGGGAATCGAACCATGACCTCCTGGTTCATAGGTTGATGCTCAACCACTGAGCAACACTGGCCGGGCAGCAAGACACATTTAAAACATTTGCACCAGTCAAGACCCAACTGAAAAGTGTGGGCAAACTCAAATTAGGATAATACCAGAAGGGCTCATTTACAACAGGACTGGTTATGATGTATGTATGTGAGGGGGAGGTGAACCTTAGCGGGCAGTGCAGGAAGTCCTGGCTAGCATCAGCAGAGTGATGACCACTTCGGTCCAAAGGGAGGAAGGCTGGGAGAGGTCACTGAACATGGACGGTACCTCAGGAAGAGCCATGACTTCTATCGAGGAACACAATGAGCCATGGCCTCACCCTCACCCCACAACCCCACCCCCAGCAAGGAAGCCAGGGAATAATACCCTGACCTCATTCCCTACCCCACCTCCATCCTAGACTTCCTATTTGCTGAATCCAAGAGGAAGTCCGAAAATGAAGGAACCTGTTAGATTTGACCCATTGATACAGTCAGCTTCCTGGGGGGGGGTGGGGGGGGGAGTTTGGGGGAGAAAGGAAGAGAGTGGATCTGACGGTGCAAACATATTATCTAAAACATTCTCCCTCCATCTGTGACATTTCTAAGGAACTTCTACCCTTTGAGACAGCATGGAGGGACCTGGAGAGTATCATGCTAAGTGAAATAAGTCAGTCAGAGAAAGACAAGTATCACATGATCTCACTCACATGTGGAATCAAACGAACAAAATAAACTGATGAACGAAGTGGATCCAGAGACATGGAAGTATGGAACAGAGGGTGGAATCTCAGAGGGAAGGCGGGGGAGAGTGGGTGGGTGGGAGGTAATCAATCAAAGACCTTGTAGGCATATATGCATAACCCATGGACACAGACAATAGGGTGGTGAAGGCTGGGGGGCAGGAGCAGGCTGAAGGGGGGCCAATGGGGGGTAAAAGGTGACATATGTAATACTTTCAACAATAAAGATTTTTTTAAAAAAAGAAACTTCTACTGACAGCCTTCCTTTGATGTGTCAAAGTGGGGAACGCAAAATAAAAGCAATGATGTATTGATAATCTGATTTAATGTCTTTTCCTGATCTACTTACTAGTGTGCTCTTCACTACTTAGGCTTTGAGCACCCAAACTGGAGAGAATCAAAAGCAGCAGGATGGATGAATTATGGTACCTCAATCAATGGAGTGCGACACAGAAATAAAATTTAAAAAAAGCAACGATATGAGGAATCGTCATTGGTATAATATTGAGCAAAGGAAGCCAGACACCAAAGAAGACACCCTGAGTGATTCCATTATCTGGTTCAGGAAAAACAAACCAATGGTAAGTAGAGATCTGAAGAGTGGGTGCTTTCTGTGGGAGAGGCTTCTTGACTGAAAAGAGGGTAAGAAAATCTTTCTGAAGTCCAAAGGTGGTGATTACATAAATGTATATGTCTATAAAACTCCCTTAAGACTTGTGCATTTTACTATTGTAGGTTATCTATACTAATAAAAGGGTAATATGCTAATTAGACCGGGAGACCTTCCAAACATCCTTCCAGACAAAGCCATGGTGGTGGGGCTAAGGCAGAAGCAGTTAGGGGCGATCAGGCCAGGAGGGAAGGGCAGTTGGGGGCGAGCAAGCCGGCAGGCAGAATGGTTTAGGGGTGATCAAGCAGGCAGGCAGGTGAGCAGTTAGGAGCCAACAGTCCCGGATTGTGAGAGGGATGTCTGACTGCTGGTTTAGGCCTGAAGGATCGGCCCTAGACTGGCAGTCGGACATCCCCTGAGGGGTCCCAGATTGGAGAGGGTGCAGGCCGGGTTGAGGGACAACACCCTCCCATGCACAAATTTCGTGCACCAGGCCACTAGTCCTATATAATAAAGGGCTAATATGCAAATTGACCCAACGGTGGAATGACCAGTTGCAATGATGTGCACTGACCACCAGGAGGCAGACGCTCAATGCAGGAGCTGCCCCCTGGTGCTCATTGCACTCCAGAAGCCAGGCTCACAGCTGGCAAGCGCAGTGGTAGTGATGGGAGCCTCTCCCACCTTCACGGTAGCACTAAGGATGTCCAACAGCTGACTTAGCCCCCCCACCCCCCCACTGGCTCCCAGACTACAAGAGGGCGCAGGCTGAGCTGAGGGACCCCTTCTCCCCCTGAGTGCATGAATTTCATGCACTGGGCCTCTAGTACTTTAACAAAATATATCTGTAATATCTGACAAATGCCTAAACACATAATATGATGAAAATAACATTAATTGCCTGGCCAGTGTGGCTAAGTGGTTGAGCATCGACCTATGAACCAGGAGGTCACAGTTCAATTCCAAATTGGCACATGCCTGGCTTGTGGGCTCAATCCCCAGCAAGGGGAGTGCAGGAGGCAGCCAATCAATGATTCTCTCTCATCATTGATGTTTCTTATCTTTCCCTCTCTCTTCCTCTCTGAAATAAAAATATATTTTTTAAATAAGAATAAATAAAAATAAAGAGACCCTAGCTGATTTGGCTCAATGGGTTGAGTGTCGGCCTGCAGACTGAATGGTCCCAGGTTTGATTCTGGTCCAGGGCACATGCTAAGGTTGCGGGCTCAATCCCCAGTAGGGGATGTGCTGGAGGCATCCAATCAATGATTCTCTCTCATCGTTAATGTTTCTATCTCTCCCTCTCCCTTCCTCTCTGAAATCAACAAAAATATATTTTTTTAAATAAAATAGACGCTACCTAACCGGTTTGGCTCGTAGTTGAATCAACCAGATGAAGAAGGAAATCATATGCATTCTGGCTCTGGGGTACAGAAGTCATCCCTTGATGTCAGGTGAGAAAAACTGAGTTGTTGAGGGGGTATGTTTGGGGCGTTCAACACCATAGTCAGACAATAGGAGGAGCCTCAGGATGGTGATTTGCTACACCAGGGAGGCTGCAATATTACACAAAGACACTAGAGGGAGCACATGAGTAGAAACTGGCAAACTCCTTCAAACAAATTATGCACACAACCAGAGAGAGAGAGGGGGGGGGGAACTTGAGAGATATCCAGAAACTCTAGCCTGGCATGTGGTGAAAGTCCACTCTTTATGAAACCAGACAGTAGTCTGGGAGGCTTGGCTTATTCTCAGAAGCCAAAATCCCAAACATTATACCGAAGACAAAAAAACACAAGACAAACAGGCAACCACAACATGTTTGGATGAACCAATTACATCTCGCAACCATGCCCAAACAAATGAAAATATATAACTTTAAAAGAAGGAATTCAAAATTACTTTTGAAATAATGATATTCAATGAATTAAAAGACAGGACAGGTAGCCAAAAAATTTCAAGAAAATGTGGTATGAAAAATGAGATTACCAACAACAACAAAAACTATGACAGAGAGGCAAACAGCTACTCTGTCAATGAAGAACACAGCACCTGAATAGAAAATTTCACTGGCGGGACTAACCAGCAAACTTGACTGGGCAGAACAAAGAGTGAGTCAAACTGAGAAAGGACTTT